AATTTTTTATCAAAAGTAGGTACTTATCTAAACAGACAACTAGTGTCGAGATATATTGCAACAATTCTATACATAAATATCTAATATTTGTTTATTATTTCGATAATAATTTAAAAGATTGCATCTCTTAAATTTGCATCTTTACAGTCATGTCTATACACACACCTGTAAAGGGTGAAAAATTCTAAATCGTATACTCATAAGTTTGTATTTCTCTCAGAAGAATAAGAATAAAAATATCGGGTGCCTCAAAATTCACGCAAGATTTGACTTTTCCGCCATTTGTGTTATGTTGTCAACGTCAAGTGTTACCAACGAAAAAAAATTGAGTGCTACACGAAAGAAGAACGGGTTTTCATTGTTGAAAAATATTTTTAAAATAATGAAGGTTTGGCAGTTACGGTTCACAATTTTCGTACAAAGTATGGTCGGAATAGTGAACTTCTTCAACTGTGAAGGGATTAATTGAACAATTCGGGGATACTAGATCAATTAGTGATCTTAAACACATGGCGTGTCCTTCAACAAGTCGTTTAACATAAAAACATCGAAGCAGTTCTTGAGAGTGTTGCTAAGAGTCCAGGAACATCACTTCAATTCAAAGTTCGATTGACTCAAGAACTGAAGCCTACTGATGACGCAGAGCAAAGATCGTTCGTTGAATGGATTATGAAACAACAGCTGTAGAAGTAGATGCTGATTTTTCGAATAAATTCGTCTTTACCGATGAGGCTCATTTTCGTCTTGATGGCATTGTTAATTGACCAAATTGTCGCATTTCGGATCCAGAAAATTCATAACGTGGCACTGTTTGGTGAGGATTTTGGGCTGGAGGCATCATCGGAACATTCTTCTTCGAAAATGGGGCTAGTCACATAATAAGAGTGGTGCTCGCTATCGTGAAATGATAATACAACTTTTTATACTTAAATTGTAAGAAATGGATGTAGACATGTGGTTTCATCAAAAAGGTGCCACATGCCATACAGTCCGAGAAACAATTCAATTAAGTACTCAATTGCTCAATTACTTATTTCCTGGTCATGTAATTTCTCGTTTTGGTAATCAGAATTGGCCGCGCAGGTTATGCGATTTGACGCTGTTGGATTTTTTTTTTGAGGTTTCTCAAGACCACCCACGCCTTGAAGGAGAAAATTGAGCGCTGCACCAACGAAATTCAGTCGCATTTAGGAAAATGGTCATGGAAAATTTCGACAAAAGAGTGCGTATGTGCAAACAATGCCCTGTAGGTCATTCCATACACAACCCTATATTGTATGATTTATGAACCAACAAAAAATTTAATATTTTTAATTAAAAACCTCTGTTTTCTATCAATATTACTTCTTGCTTGAATTTTGAAACACACTTTACAAATATGTTTTAAAATCCAGTTTTATTAATATGTAGGTATATATCTACTCTAAACGTTGTACATAGACTTTTAACTAGAAGAGGTTTTAAATGGAACAAATTCATAACAAAAACTGATTGAATGAAAAATATCTGGAAAACCCAACAGAAAATCAAGTTAATCAATAGAAACGCCAAGCTCCATTAGAAAAGTCACAATCCGATTCACCAACCAATATTACTATGTCGCCATTGGAAAATCCTTTAAACCAATTACGTTCCAGTAGTCCTTATAGTTCCTTTTTATACTAATAGTCTTTTATTTTGATATCTTCACAATAATAATAATTCATAGGGAAATAGAAGGAACATTTATTTTTCTGGGACAAGTAAAACACAAAGAAAGTCTTGGCAGAAAAACAAATAAGTTAGTGCCTATTACGATAATCTTTTATAACTTTAAATACTGGTATGAGACTGCTATTGTAATAAGATGAAAATGTTTTTGTTTTATTACCATTTAATTAATTTAATTAAATAAAAACATTAACAGCGATTTCCTATTTTTAATAGGTAGGTATATTTATTTCTTGTTTTATTCAGCAATAATAAATAATATGCCATGGTTTATTTTTTGCAATTTTATGTATAATCGCTTTAAAAATATATAAATAAATAAAAATTATTGTTCAAATTGTGATACTTCAAATCATCTGTAATTGATGTTATAAAATGCGTTAAGTATCACCTACATTTTTCGAACACAGTTCTATTTATCAAAATTAAATAAGATTACATCTCTCATGAATGGACCAAAATTCTTTAAAATGGGGTAAAAATAAGAAAGTTGAAGATAAACTAGTGATTTGCTCTCCCTAAAACTAACATTTATGCAACAGGTAGGGTTTTGTTGGTATTGCGTAAATTATTGTTTAGATGCCTCAAATAAGATAGGTACCTATTCTCAAAGACTTCTTATAGAGGTATTTTCCAATTATTATCCATTATCAAAAAATAATTCATATATAAAGATATTTTTATTTTTTGATATACTAATCGTTAAAAAAAATATTGCAAAACCACCACCCAAAAAGAGTACAAATAAATCAAAATCTAATGAGGTCAAAACGAGTTTACCTTCTAAATATAATTTTATTGCAGTTAGACCAAAATATTGAAGAAAACCTATAGTCATATTTCACTACTAATAAAAAGAACAGTAGACTGAATTTTGTTAAAATGAATCAGGCTAAAAATCAATAATATTTTTATAGTTATGTACCGATAATGACAGGTCGATACGGAATTACATGCTAGTCAATAAATAAAGAAAGATGAATACCTAGGTAAAATAATACAGTATAAGAACATTTCTCATTATATTTCACAACGTTTTTTAATAAATTTATTTTTGAAGTTTTCAATTTACTAAAATGTGTTGCAGAGAAACTTTTGTATTTTATATAATCTTCAAAATTTGTATATAAACGAATTTCATATATTTCCAAACCAGTATTAGATGATTTTTACAACAAATGTGTATTATCTATCTATTCAAGTGAGTATTGGCATAACTCGCGTTTGCATCACAAGTAAGAAAAAATTTTGATGTAATTAAAGGTATTTCCATGAAATATATGACAGCCGCTAAATATTCAGAATAAATTAAAATTACCAAACATTTTGCTCCCAATCTTGTGTTATTTGTAAAAGCAAGTCTGAAATTCAAAACAACATTTCATTTTCTTAAAGAAGATTGATATTAAGTTTATTAATAACCGAAATTAGTTTATTTGTAAACATGTTAAAATTAAATGAGATACAGACTCTCTTCGAATAGTAGCGGATGAATTCATCTTTGAATAATACTGGACATAATTCATATTATATTTCTCTTAATATTGTGTTTCCGAGATACAGAGTGCTATTTTGAAGTGAGATTTTCTTAATTATCTTATTTATTATTATCTTTAAATCGGCTAAAGATAAAGATGTCAAATATTAATTTGTTTTAGAAAAAGGTGCAATTAATTTTATTCCCAACAGCAGTAGCATGGATCGGAATATGTTAAAAGTTAAAATTTCTTAAACTTCCTAACGGAGGACAAAAAATGTATACGTGCTTGTTGAAAATCGATAGGTTGTACATTTTCGAAAAAAATATCTTACTCACAAAATAACTCAAAATAACAGAAGTAAATTTAAACATATAAATACTAAATAAAATATATGTATTTNTAGAAGACCAAATAAAAACTTGTTCCCATATTTATTTAGCCATACCCATATACAGGTCTGGTCGAACTAAAAGTGGAGATGGTAGAAATATATACGTCCAGTAGAAGAATGCGCGCGCGGGCAAACGACGCACAAACACAGCCGCACTGGACGACCAGCCATAAATTATTTTATTGTTGATTATTTTTATTTAATAACTTTTCTAAGCTAAACTAACAACCTTTCCTCATCCTTTCCTGGCAAGGATATGTACATACCTTCCCGTTGGTTCTTGGCGAGTAGTAATATATTTTAATGCAATCTAAATATTTTTTGATATGTCATAACCAAAATTTACCATCAATATAATAAAATTGTTTGATGACATAAATAATTAAAATATGTTGTTGTCCAAATGAACATAATAGAAACTTTCTACACATTACATACAAATTATTATTATTTTTTACCTTTAGCAGAAAACTTTTTTAGGGACGCCTATGAAACTCATTAAATTTCATTGCTATGCGTCTTTATACATGTTCAACAGACTTCAGAAATACTATATGGTGTGGTGTAATCCAACAATAGTTGGGGCATGTAGCCAGTAGAGTAGTTGTTTCCATCAGTACCAGCAGTTAGCAATCTTGCCTGTGATTTGATGTCTTTTGCCTAGCTAGATTTCTGGTATCAAAGAATGTTGTTTTATTTCATTTGACAGAATTTGTTGAGTTAGCTTAATAAAGAGTAGAAAAAAAATAAATGTAAACATTAACATGAAAATGTTGTTACCATGGTTTTAGTATAATTTGACGTTATATGAACTTCCCCAGTATTTTTCCAAAAGAAACTCACTCCCCATCTTTTTTGCAGTATAAATGGGAAATTATACAAAGCCTTCATAAATTATTACAAGCCACGTGATTGCCGAGCTTAGGCAACCAACATTTCAAGGTTGGTACTGTCAATTAAATATCGCTAAATCTTAGCGTCACCAATATTAATCACAGGCTTACAATGAATAATGACAAACCATTACGTATACTCTCAAAATAATGCGATCTGATTGCTTTAATCTTACAAAAATTTAAACGCCAACATGAAAGAAATACAAAATTGTTGGTCACGTGGCTTGTAATCATTTGTATAAATATGTACCTAGAATATTAGATTTTTAACTTGGAAAACAATAACGAATTGCTTGCGAAATTATATCAGGTTTAAAGCAATTTTCAATTCTGCTTCACATAATCAAATCAAATTTACTTTGTGTAAACTTTCCTTTTGAAATTCAAGTACTTTGTTACTAAAATACAATCTACCTATACAATTATTTCTTCTAAAGTATGTAAGACAATTTGTCTTGTACAGCTTTATTAAACTGTTACAAGCAATTTTCACTAATAATAAGATGAAGACTATGTACCTACCTTAGACAGATAAGAATTGATCCAGTTGACGAAAGTTTTCTTCTGTACTCGCTCTTGCTCATCTGAAACAAAATATGGCTGTGTCAGATTTAGATTTCAACCAGTGAGTAATACAAATCGCCGTGAAGCGATCAAGTTCATTGAAAGTTTTCTATTTTTAATTCGTGCAAAACTTCGCACCGATGCATCCCGTTCATTTAATTAGAAACTTGTTTATTATTGTAAAAATACACGCTTTTCTGTTTACTATAAATTCAGGCTTTATTTACAAATTTAAATCTGCAGCAGAATGAGTCAGATGTTGATACGTTGAGAAGAGATTTTTTTGATCTTAATATCCATATTTCAGAAACTGTCGTTTTAATTTCAGATAGCGTCCTTTCAGTTTCGACTTAGTAAATTTATTTTTAGATGTTTTTTACAGATTCTTCAATTATATTTAAAAAAACGTTAATTAGATTCGAAAATTTGATTAAAAGCAAAGACATTTGTCAGAAATTCTTCTATTATTTCACAAAATACCGTTTAAATTTCAAAAAACATAAAATGTTTTTTATTTATTTGTTTAGAAAGCAACGCTCATTTAATGTACTCAGAATATGTGGGCAATCTCTAGGATTTATACGGGGATGTTAAAATAACATGACAAGTTCCTACAAATATTTTCCCCCTACGGAGATACAGGCCCCTAAAGTAGTAGTAAGATAGCCTACCAGAGTTACGGATACCAGTGTGACAACGATTGACCAAATATTTTGTAATTTCACAGAGAGGTCAACTGTCTGCGTTACAGATAATTTCGGACCATAGACTGTCTTATTTGACTAGGCTTCAAGAAACAACCTTGCATATGGTAACTCTCATAATATAAGTTCAGTGTCGATGCTATACAAAAATTTGTAGATAATATTGAAACACTAGCATGGGACGATATATATCTATCCGAGGATGTAAATGACGCATGTAAGATTTTTACAAACTTATTTTTATATAATTTTAATAAACACTTTCCTCGTTGTGCTCATGATCGCCCCAATCGTGAACATAAAAATTGGGTAAATGATGACGTACGCCGTAGTAGTGACTTAAAGACCTATATTATTAGCACCTCAAATAATCCTACAAAAACAGCTTGGAATATTGTATCCGAATTGTCGAATAAACCTTCCTTACGATCTCCCAACATAGTTTTAAAGCATAATAACATGTCTATTACCGACTCTAAACAAATTGCTGACTTGTTCAGTGACTATTTTTGTAAAGTTGCTAGTGATGTTGATCAAATTCAACCAAGTAATGGTTCCATGCAGTACGTTGATAGCATGAAAGTCAAAAGCAAGTCATTCTTTTTTAATCCTTTTACTGTGCCGGAGTTGTATGAGTTACTGACTAAAAAATTGAATTGTAAGTTCTCATTGGGCTATGATGAGATTCCACCTTTCATTTTGAAGAAATGCTTGCATGCATTAATACATCCATTGGTTTATCTGGTTAACTTGTCATTTGCTGTTGGCAAGTATGGCAGCAGTTTTTTGGAAAATTATAGGTCCATTACTGTTACTTCAGCATTTTTAAAAGTATTTGAACATGCCTTTCTGCATATATTCATTTATTGATAAGAACAATATCACATCCAGTAATCAACACCGCTTCGTAAGCAGTAAGTCAACCACTACTGCTATGCATTCATGCTATGGTCGTATTGTTGGAGCTATAGAATGGAGAATGCCCTGTTGGGATCTTTTGTGATCTCAGTGGGACGTTTGACTGCGTAAATCACGACATGTTAGAGAAAAATGGGATTCGTGGCATTCCTCAGAAACGGGTGGCAACTTTCATTCGAAATCCAGTTAAATATGTTGCTATAGATAATGTAACTTACGAAATCAAAAAAGTCAATACAGGGGTACCTCAGGGTTCGGTACTGGGCCCTGTCCTGTTTCTTTTATACATTAATGACTTAGACGAGCTTTCAGGATCGGGGTCTTTCACTTTTTATGCCGATGATACGTCAGTGGTGATCTCAGACAAATCAGATACAAAATTATCTGAGACTTACTGTAGAGTAATATCCAAGATGAGCGATTGGTTTAGTCAAAATTCCTTACTACTAAATATCAATAAATCTCAGGTTATAAGATTTCACAATAGACAAAAGCTTTGCAATAGTATTGATGTTAATATTAACAATACACTAATTAATAACACAAATCTTGTAAAATTTCTAGGATTAACCCTGGATGAGTGTCTAACTTGGAATAATCAATGTAACGAATTAGTAATGAAGTTAAATATAGTATCATATCAATTTCGAAATATCAGAAAAGTCCTGACCATTGATCAATTATTGAAGCTATATTACTGCCAAGTAGAATCGCGTTTCCAATATGGTATCTGTTTTTGGGGGGGCCATCTTGCCACGCTAATAATGTATTTGTTGCTCAAAAACGTGTAATTAGGTGTATGTTCGGAATGTCAGCTAGGGAATCCTGCAGACGGATATTCGTCTGTTACAATATTTTAACAATGCCTTCTGTTTTGTTGTATGAAATGTGTTTATATATTTTTGTCAACAAAATCAGTTTGTCCACAGAAATCAGATTCATTCCATTGATACACGGCAGTCTTGCCATTTTAGTATACCTTTTGGTAGGTGTAATCTGTCTTTTAACTCACCTAACTGTCTTGGTATACGAATGTTCAATAAATTACCTAATGATATAAAAATTTGTACCTCTGTTTATAGCTTCAAGAAGGTTCTGAAAAAATACTTGGTTGATAAATGTTTCTATTCTGTGGAAGAATATTTTGTTAATCAACTTTCTGTTAATTAATTATTATTATTATATTATTATTATATAGAAAGCACGCCCCTGGAATTTTTTTAATAACTTTTAAAATACTTTGTGTAATTTAATTATTTTTTAATACATCGTATTAACTCATAGTATATTCTGAAGTGTAACAACAGGAATGGTCAAATTTACCAAATGCTTTCAAAAATTGATATACACGGCATTTACTTATTTTCTTTTTGATATAGATCACATCAGAACTATTTTGTACAAAACCGAAAGACCTTTAAAGAAGCTATGCTCATATCCAGAAATAAAATGATCGGTTTAAAAAGAAACATTGCCCATGAACGGGAAGTATAGAAATATCAAGGTAATTAAATTAAATAAAAATCGGTACAATTTGAAGGTGCTTCCAAGTTAAAGAAAATATTTAATATGATAAAGTCTTATTGAAGATTTTAAACAAAGGGTCCCATATACAGAACACAATTTTATTTAAAGTTATGGAAGTAGCTGGTTCATTAAGATTTATGCAAGACAATATACCACAAGTTTCAAAGGAAAATAGTTTACCAACCAATATTACTGTGTCGTCATTGGAGAATCCTTCAATTTAAACCAATTTTCAGTAGTCCTTTTAGCTCTTTTGTACTAATAGTATTTTATTTTCATAACTTCATAATAATATAAATTCATAGGGAAATAGAAGGAACATTTATTTTTCTGGGACAAGTAAAAACAAATTAAATGTTGGCAGAAAAACAATGAGGTTGTACCTATTATGATAACCTTTTACAACTTTAAATATTGATATGAGATTGCTATTGTAATAAGATGAATGTGTTTTTATGTTTTATCATTTAATTAATTTAATTAAATAAAAACATAAACAGTAACTTTCTATTTTTAGTAGGTATATTTATTTCTTGATTTATTCGGTAATAATAAATAATATGTATACAGTTTATTTTTTGTATTTCTATGTAAAATCACTTATAAATATAAATAAAAGAAAATTATAAACAATTTTAATACAGGTAGTTAAACAGTTGGGCAAAGCTAGGATTTTATTATAGAATAAATATATAAAAATGATATGGTGGTCTTAAATTGTCTCCAGATGTTACTGGGATGGACAGTACCCAAAAAAATTAGGTATATTAATTTTATAATTTTTTTACGATATTATATAAGTATTAGACATCTTATTCATATTTTAAAAATAGATTTAGGTCATCTGGATAATANGAATAGAATGCAAACAAAAATTACTACCACCACCTCTGAAACTACGCCTCTGTAAATATGTAACAAACCTGTTCCATGGATATATATTTGTGGACAATGAAAAAATAAAGATATATGCAAAATTTAAAAGAAGTTGTATTCTTAGACATCTTATTCATATTTTAAAAATAGATTTAGGTCATCTGGATAATATCTGAGCAGTATTATTCAAACCTCACCTAGGTAGGTACCCCTGTTTTATGAAAATTGTTCAAAATGATATTTCACAAAATACCGTTTAAATTAAAAAAATATATATCAAATGTTTATTTTGTATGTTCAAAGTATAGAGAGCAACGCTCAATATCATAGACTTATAATGAGAATAAATAACAGCTACAAAAGAAGTTGAACAGTTATTAATTTAGCACACTGTGACTGCTGTTAAATCTGTATAATGTACTAAATACATCTTAACCTATATTCTGAAGTTTAATAACAAGAATATTATGGTCGAATTTACCAAATACTTTTGAAAAATTGATATACCTACGCGGCATCTACATATTTTCTCCTTGATATTGATCAAATCAGAAATATTTTGTAGTACAAAGACTTAAATTAGTTACTATCGAACGACCTTTAAAGAAACCATGTTGATATGCGTAAATAGAATGGTCAATGTAAAAAAAACATTGCCCATGAACTGAAAGTATAGAAATATGACGGTAATTGACTACCATGGTTTTATTGTCTATTTTATTGACTTTAGTGTTTGTTGGTATTATTGTTAAAACCCAATGTCACTAGACCAGAACAGTCCCTAAAAATAATACGTGATTAGATAATACAAAAATATAGAACCATTTTACAAACTAACTATAATTTTTCATACAGTTTTTTATTTTTTATTTTAAAAAATTGATGTAAATTATGAACGTATATTTCTATGACGAATATATTTAGTTCATTGATGAATATAAGCGGTCCATATTCGCAAGTTGCCTGCAAGCCGGCAGCATGTGAACGTTTTTGGG